GATATAATCAAGATGCTAACTTTCCACACTAGCATCAACAAAAGGATTGGAAGGAAACTCTCACCGATATTAGAAGGATCTATAACAGTAGACTTGAGAAGTGTAATTTTGATATAACTTTTCTTTAAAAAGATTTTATAAATTTCAACCGATTATGACGCTAACTGATCGGTCAATGAATACCGAATGTTTCCTTATAAGGAAACGGTCAATTTCATCATTACCATTCTTCTTCTTTTATGTGCCGTGTCCCTTCAGGACATGGACAATTATGACTCTTCACTTACTCCTATCCCTTGTAGTTCTTAATATGTTTTGTTCTTTTGCTACTTCTCCCAGGCCTTGTTCTGTCATTCACTTGCTTAAGCCCGTTAGGTATGTCACGCCTTGTTTATTCCCTTGTCCCTCTTTCCCTCTATTCGACATGTGAGTATCAGATTCTCCAAGCTCTCCTTTCTCATTACGTGTCCCAGAAATTTCAACTGCCTCTTCCTGATGTTAAGTATAAAATAGAAATAAAGTATAAATTCAAATTTGCTCTTAGAACAATTCTTTAAAAATCTAACGCACTTATGGATTTCTTTTTCTTTTTGTCCATTCTTCTTCTTCTTCTTCTTCTTCTTCTTCTTCTTCTTCGTCTTCTTCTTCTTCTGTGTGCCATGTCCTTTCACAATGCCGGCAATCATGGCTCTCCACATTTTCCTGTCCTTTGTAGCTCTTAGTAAATTTTGTCTTTTCGCTATCTCTCCTAATCCCTGTGCTGCCAAGCATTTACACATGATCATTAGTTAGGTTAGGCACTAATTTCCTCTGTCCTTCTTGCCTTCAATATGTCCTGTGAGTATCGCATTTTCCAAACCTTCTTTCCTCATTATGTGCCCTAAAAATTTCAACTGTCATTTCCTGATGTTAAATATGTGTCCTTTTTGTTTTCATTTGCTGTAACATTTGGTCTTTGCTGACATGCTCACTCCATGGTATCCTCAGCATCCTTCTGTAGAACCACATTTCTACTGCCTCAAGTCTTTTCTTCATCTGTGAGGAGATTATCCAGCATTCATTACCATACAGAAGGACTGATTTTATGTAATACTTCAGCAGTCTTTCCTTTGTTTCTAACGAAATTTTCCTGTTTCTCAATACTTTGCTTAGCTTTTGGAAGGCATCTTTTGCTATCCCAATGATTTCAGTGTCATACTTTCTGTTCTCTGTTCAAAACACTTCTCAGATATTTAAATTGCTCTTCTGTAGGAGTTCCTGTAGATTCCTTTCTATGTCTGCTATGAAAATTGTGTCATTTGCACATCTAATGTTAAGATTCTGGACGCCTATCCGCCCCCTCACAAAAAATCTCTTACCATGTGCTTACTTAAAACTTTAAAAATATGTCATTTTAATTCGTAATCTGGAGTGTAAAATCGATAGTAATATATGAAAAAAGATCTCCAGATTATGTATTTCAATTATTTATATATATATATATATATATATTTACATTTAAAAATTTGCGTGGTATGAGCATATTCTGTTTTGGTTTTCAAAAGTGGGGTCAGTTTACAATAAATTTACATAGCAAATTGTGCCCCTATTTACTTTTAAAAAATATAATTTATTTTTCTTAATATTCGTGATATAGTAATATGAAAACAAATTGAAAAAAAAAATCAATTATTTCTGATCGCATCGCCTGTTGTTCAACTCTCCCCCCTCATTCCCACAAACAACTTTATTCATGCTTAACCCGGAAAAGTCATTATAAAGATGAGATCTTTATGTCAATAAAACTGGTTGTTCGTCTATCGACTGTCGCATATCCAGGAAACGAACAGTAAAATAGATTGTAATCTAGGAAGGAAAAATCACATACAGAAATCGGAATGAAAATTTAGGAAGAAAGAGAAGGAAAAGTCAATAAATAAAATGGCAAAGAGAGCCGAAAAATTAAAAATGGAAGATGAATGAAGGAGAAAGAAAAATTAACTTTCTTTTTTTTTTTTTTCAAATTTTCACAGTGATAATTATTTGATCTCAGCGACGCCATTGTTGTGTAGTGTTACTAACACGCGGGAAGTAGTATGAGCTCAACTGCCTCATGGATAATAGCCATAGCTATTTATAGTCTTTGTGACGTCATATGTAAATGAGTCACTTCACTTCTACTGAAAGAGGCTGAGGATACCATGGACTCAACCTGTGTGTAACTACGAACTTTTATGGAACATGGAAACAAAAAGGACACTTAGTAATTAGAGCCAAGAAGAGGTTGTTGAAATTTCAGGTAGACCTAATGAGGATAGAGAAAAAATTTTTAGACACTAAGCAACGTATTAAGTGAACGGAAATTATTCTTAGAAATAAAAATAAAAATAAAAAAAAAATTTCTCGTATATCTATCTCTTTGCTACTGTCCTGCTACCCGCTCACAAACACGTTAGGTGAACCGCTTATCACGAACTTTGTCTTCAGTACGTCTTGTGGGTGTCAAATTCATCAAGCCCTCTTTTCTCATTATTTGAACCAGAAACTTCAACTCTTTATGATTGAGTGAAGTTTTCCTTGTTTTTTTCTTATTTTCTTTAAGACTTCCATATTGCTCGTATGTCCTGTCCATTGTATTCATAGCATTCCCCAGTAGAATGCATCATCTCAGTCACTTCAGGCCTCTTCGTCCTTTGTGAGGAAATTCACCAGTATACACTGGGTTTTTGAAATACAAATTTATCCGGCAGTATTCATTACATATATTATTATTATTCTATATGCTGTATCACGTCATGACGTGGGTGATCACGGTACTCCACAACTTCCTATTTTTTGTTTCTCTTCGAAACATTTGTCTAACCCAGTTGCTGTTCTGCTAACCATTTATACATTTGATCATAGCTCTCCACTACTTCCATTTATACAATCACTTTAAGTAGGTTACTCGGTATTTTCCTCTGTACCTCTTCCAATCAATATGTCCTGTTAATGTCAAATTATCCAATCCCTCTGTCCTCATTAGGTCTACCTGAAATTTCAACAACCTCTTCTTGGCTCTAATTACTAAGTGTCCTTTTTGTTTCCATGTTCCATAAAAGTTCGTAGTTACACACAGGTTAAGCCCATGGTATCCTCAGCATCTTTCAGTAGAAGTGAAGTGACTCATTTACATATGACGTCACAAAGACTATAAATAGCCACGGCAGTTGAGCTTATGCTACTTCCCGCGTGTTAGTAACGCTACACAACAATGGCGTCGCTGAGATCAAACAATTATCATTTGATAATTATGAAAAAGTGGCTTAGAAAACTAGTAACTAAAAGCTAGAACAAAAAAGTAAAAGATTCAAAATTAATCGGAGAAGAAAAAACAAATAACCGATTTCTTGCTGACAATTGTTGGTTGTGACGCCATTATAAAATTATCAGCAATTTCACATCTAACACAGTTGGAATCTTTCTTAAAACTTGTAAATTTTTACAGACGAATGTAGAATAAGAAAAAAGAATGTGGAATTTATTTGGACAATAAGTGACATGCGAAAATTTAAAATTTAAAGCTGTTCTGGTAAAGAAGCCAGTAGTAAAAATATTCGACCCTAGAAAGGAAACAGTAAAAACAAGTGATGCAAGTGGACACTCAATTTCAGGAATATTAGCTCAGGATGGTCATCCTATTATGTATCGTTCGAGAAAATTGACAAAAGCCGAATTGAACAACTCAGATATTGAAAAAGAAGCGTTGGTCATAATATGGACGACAAATAGATCTCGCCAGTTTCTGATTGGAAAGAAAAGATAGAAACATTTCTTCTTAAATTGTTGCTAAATTATAGGACAATATCACATGCTGGAAGACCGAAAAGCCTGACTGCCCTCGTGGGTAGACAAATTTGACCATGTCGTATGCCACCAACGAAAAACTATGGTAGAAAAAGAATGAATCTAATCTACAAGAGGCAAGATTCATAATGTAAAGTAGATAGAATAACCGGGAGCATTAGTAATTTACTTTATAAAAATGTAGTGCTGGTCATTTTTTTTACTATGAAAATGTATGGCTAGTATTTTTATTATAAAAATGTATTTTATAATTTCATAGTGTTTTGACCCCAGTTTGGGGGTTATCTATTTACCCATAGCTGGGACCCTAACAGGGTTACAGTGGACCTGGGGACAACAGCAAATAAGAAGTGGTTACACGCTCCTCGAAACAGCCAGATCAGAAACCTTACAACCGGCTGTCGTTTGCCGTCATATCTGAGACGCTAAAGATTGAATAAATCTGGCGAGATGACACCTCCTTTTCTTACGCCCATTCAAACATTTAAAAACGATAGGAAAATTAAGGAGCTACTAAATCATTTTCATGGAAAATTGAAAAATTAAACATTGGTCAGTGTTCCAATTTTTTCTGTCGTTACTCACCCCAGGAAAAGGTCATTTTACAACGCCTTATTCGTTGGCGATGAAAAATGGATTTATTATAAGAATCCAGATCTAAACTAGCTTTCAACCTGTTAACTTTAAAGAAACTTTACGGGAAGAATTTGTGTGTGTGTGTGTTTTGCGAGCGTCAAAAAGAATTCTTTATTAAGAATGGCTTCAAACTGGACAGACTGTTAGTGTTTAATTGCCTTGAATAACGCACTAGAGCAGAAAACATCTGTACAAGGAAATCGGCGTTGCGTGCATGACGACCTTTCCTTCTGTTGCCAATGTCAATATGGAAGCAGTATGGGAAGTTTTTCCACATTTAATGTATTCAAACCTTGTAGCCTTCAAACTATTATATGTTTTGATCTAGAAATCGCTTTTTGTTAATGATTTCAACATTAAAAATATAAATTAACAAATTTAACAAAAATGCTGCGGAATTTGCCAATACCAAACACATATATGCATACATACGTACACACACTCAAACAATGACGTTATCTTTTTCAGTTCCATATTTTGTACACTTTTTTCTTGTGGATGAAATGATGAGAATATTGAAGGTTTTTTTTTTTAAGTGTTTATAGATAGATAGATAGATAGATAGATAGATAGATAGATATTTCTTCATGTAAATATTGTGGACTGCAGATTCTTAGTGCTGATAAATAGAATCCTATAATTATTCCAGATTTTATTATGTTACAGTGGTGAGAATAAAAACTGATAAGGCCACTCTTGTGGGTAGTAAACCTCCAACTGATATCTAGGAAGGATTAAGTGTTGTTAGAAGAAATATACATAGAAAACAGAAGAAAAATTAAGACAATGATATTATTAGCAACAATAGCAATAAACTAAATAAAACAGATACGCCATAGTAACCTGACATCTAGCCTTAACATCTACTATCCAAAACAATTTATCCAATATTAACAATATCAAAATAGTTACAACGACACATGGCACAGTGGATAAAGGCGTTGGTTAGATCCAGTGACAGGACCCAAAGAGTATGAGTTCAATACCTGGTTAAGGCAGTGGAGAACTTGGAGAGAGGAATTAACAGATAACTGACATCCATTAAACATGGCACGTGGAATGTCGAAGTGTAGACTGTACTAGTTCCACGCACCTGATGAAGACTGGAGCGTTGTAATAAATATGGTGACAACGATGAGGACAATAGTAATGTAAACAGTGTAATTACAACGACATCCAAAACTATTGTGGATATGATCAGAACGAAAAATACCCATAACATTTCTGAAGCGAGTATTTATGAAATAAACTCTCACACTTGCTCTTTACAATACATTGGGGAAACTTGAAGAAATGTTAAAAAGAACGTGTCTATGAACACAAAACTGATATGCACAACAATTTACTAAATGCATTAGTTATTCATAGAGATAAATTCAACCCCAACTTTGATTTAAAGAATGCCACATTTATTAAAAGAGAAAAGTAAGTTAGACGGAAAATTCTCGTAATTGCCGCTATTGAATCTTATCAAAATATAAATCTGCGTCTCGGATATTTTCAAATATCTCTGTCTATGAAAGAATTATTCTTTTTCCAAGACAACATACATGACATAAAACATTAAATAAAAACGCTTAAATTCATAACCTATTATTTAAAATATATTATACATAAATTAATCCCAAACTAAAATAATATAAATTAATTATATTAGCAAAAAATTAACAACGATATTATTTACTTTTGTTTATTAAACATGAACTTACGTCTCTTAGCATCTTCCATAATTAAATTATGTCACTTAGCATCTTCCATAATTTACTTAAACTTTTCTGTTAGCTTAATGAATATTTATGAGTATTTTTTTTAAATTTAAAAGTTTTGGTAAACTAATATTTTTAGTTTTGTTTATAAATACTTGTTGCAAAATAAAATCTTCACATATGCCTTGGTAAAGTCCATTAGAGGACAAAACGAAAAACTACAACAAAGTAATGGATTCCAAGAAAATTTGGAAATACGTGTCGCGTCTCCCCGAGAAGTCTGAACACCACAAATTAGACTGACATTTGTTTAACAAGTCGAATGCATATGAAACATGATTAACCAATGAAAATCAAACAACACAAAAGTAAAAATACCAGAATTTCTTTCTTCTTTTTCTCCATATCTCATTCTTTGATGAGGCTTTAATAAAAGGGAAATTTGTTTTTTTATCTGGCAAATTCTAATCAATAAGTGATCTATATTTCACTCTAATATATATATATATATATATATATGTGTGTGTGTGTGTGTGTGTGTGTGTGTGTGTGTGTTCTTGTGTGTGTGTGTGTAAAATATGTAAGTAATCCAAGTAGATCCTATTAATATAAAATGTTAAAACTGATCCACAAAAGAGAGCTCAATATATTTATTATAGAGCATATAAGTGAACTACAAAAATGAAACCCATATTACCCCATTCATGAATGGGGGAATTTGGATTTCATTTTTGTAATTCACACACACACACACACACACACACACATATATATATATATATATATATATATATATAGCATCTAACAAACTTTACCTAAACTTTTAAGTTAACCTGATAGTGAATATTTATGAGCTGTAAAACTTTGAAATGCTAACAACATTTTTAGTTTTGTTTATAAATAAAATCACTTCCTCTTCATTTCTTGTCGATCGAACTCTCTGCCTCCGGGAGGAGAGGAACCCAGACGAGGCGATGACGAAGGGCAGAGTCTAGTTTAGGGTGATAGACAAACTCGACCCCGTGTATACGGGGTCTACAGGCAATTTTTCCCCGAGCCTAGGGGCTCGGAACCACAGACGTTAAAAATTGGCCTTGTGCCTCATTTTGCCCTGTGGGAAGGTTGGTAAATAGAGAAGATTAGAAAGGAGAAGGTTCAACTGGCTGACGAGTTATGGGAACAAAGCTGCCGACAATCTTCATCTTCAGACCTCGCCGCCTCTTTCCTTCTCGACGGCACCATTTCTTTCGGTGTCTGAGTTTCATTCATTAATGAACTAATCAGAAGAGAAAAGGAAAACCGTTTACTTGCAAGAAGAAGAAGAAGAAGAAGA